ACTGAAAGACAGCTTAGCTGGAAAAAAAATATGTGAAACTTTTAATAGATCTACTCCATTGACTAAAGTATGGAATTACATTAAAAAGTTTAATAAAACTTTTGTTCCTAATAACACATCTGTCATAGATTCTAATTGGGCTAATGAATTTTTGAAAAAATATACTCCAGAAACAGATGAAACACCTCTAACCCCTCACTCCTCAAATGATAATCATTGTGATTATCTTACCAAACCTTTTACCTTGACCGAATTCAATTCAGCTGTTAACTCTAGAAAAGACACTACTTGTGGTTTATATTCTGTTCCATATAAAGCTTTAAAAAATATGAATACTGCGTGTAGAGAACTAGTTTTGAAAATATATAATATGTTATTTTTTCATTCATATATTCCTAACGATTGGAAAGAAGATTGTTTGATACCCATTTTAAAGCCTGGAAAAAAACTTCACATTGCAGAATCTTATAGACCTATAGCACTAACATCTTGTATGGGTGAAATATTTGAGCAACTTATAAAATCTAGATTATAATTTTATCTAGAAAAAAATTGTCTTTTACCATCAAATCAGTTTGGATTCAGACGCCGTAAGTCATCTAGAGAAAGTATTGCATTTCTACATTTAGACATCTTTAAAGTTATGGAAAATAGAGAAGTATTAATTAGTATATTCTTTGACATTGTTGGTGCATTTAATAACGTTAATCTTCATATACTCGGCGCAGAGTTGAGGTCTTTGGCCATTCCTGAAAAAATTGTAAAATGGATATTTAACTTTTTACATGAAAGAAGAGTTTTTGCTAAAGTTAATAATAATAATACAATTATTGGTTCTAGGCTCAGTTATAAATGTGTTTGTCAAGGAGGAATATTAAGTCCTCTTATCTTCATTTTATACATATTTAAATTAAACAATATTTTAGGATCAAATGTTACTAATTTACAATATGTAGATGATTTGGTCATATATGCTTCAGGAACAAATGTCAAAAACTTGGTAACCACTTTAAATGAGGCTTTAAAGAAATTGCGCATTTACTTTTCATACTTAAATTTAGATATTAGTACTGAGAAAAGTAAAGTCGTAATATTTAATAAAATTCGTCCATTTAACACTAGAATAATTTATAATAATACATTTTTACCAATAGAAAGTTGTGCAAAATTCTTAGGTGTAATTTTTACAAATAATTTATCTTGGACCAAATACGTGAATTCTATTTCAGACAAAGCTTCTAAGGCCTTTAATGTATTAAAAGCTTTGGCTAGTACTAACTGGGGAGCTGATCCAGAAATATTATTAATGTTATATAAGTCTTTGGTGAGGAGCCATTTTGAGTACGGCTTTCTTTGTTTTGCATCAAATAAAAAACTAGTAAACAAATTAGAAAATATACAAAATAAGAATTTAAGACTTATTACCGGCTCTATGAGAACAACTCCTATTGTTTCTTTACAGGCTGAATGTCTTACTCCTCCTATCTTCCTTAGGTTTAAATATCTGAAATTTAGGTTTTTATTAAATATTAATTCTTTGTCCCATCATCCTCTTTTCCAAAAAGTATTATTTTACTACAATAGCATGTCTCCTATATCTAACTCAGCCCCATATATACTCCATGACTTTCATGAAGTGATACGATATGATGAACAATATAATATTCACAAAAGCACACATACTTGGCCTTGTTATAAGTGGAATTATGAAAGTAAATTCAGTGATATACACATAAATATTGACGAAAAATTGAAAATAAAAGAAGATGTTAATGAACTTATATCTACATATGATGAATATCGACAAATTTACACAGATGGTTCAAAAGTTGAAAATAAAGTAGTCTGTGCATTTTACATACCTCATCTGAAAACTGGACGTGGCCTTTCCATTCCTGCATTAGCAAGCATATACACTGCAGAATATTATGCTGTCTTAATCGCTCTTAAATATATAGAAGTACACCCACATGTATCTAATAAATCGTTACTGATCTCTGATAGCATGAGTGTCTTGAAGGCAGTGAAGGCAAGAGCTTTAGATGCTAAAACATCTTTCATCATATATGAAATCAAAAGTTTGTGGTGGAAATTGAAAGAAAATAAATTGGTAGTAAAATTTTTATGGACTCCGTCACATATTGGGGTTCAAGGAAATGAAAGAGCAGACCATTTAGCTAAAAGTATAGTTACAGCTGATATTGACAGAATAACCGATGTTGCAATACCACATACAGATTTATATTCAATTTTAAAGTAGAGTTAAAAGAAGAATGGAAAATGCAATGGGCACTCCATTGCATTTTCCATTCTTCTTTTAAAGACAGGAAAAGGTCGTTGGTATGCATCAATTAGTTCAGAATTAAGTCTTCCTTGGTTTTCTCGCAACGATATGCGAAGATATCATAGCAGAAAATTTTATACAATAATGTGCAGACTTAGATTTGGCCACTATCGACTGAACGCTCATCTTTCCTGGATGAGAATAGTAGCATCTGCAACATGCAATTTCTGCGATACAGAAGCAGATCAGACTGCAGAACATATAATATTTAAATGCCCAGCGTACGCCATAGAAACATTGCTACTTATTGAAAAACTTATACAAGTTTATGAAAACTCAGAAAGCGTCCCGCGTGCCCTGCAAGATGTTCTTAGGAATACTAAGACATATTTAGCACTTTGCAATTTTATTCATAATACTGTAAAAGAAATATGAAATATGGTATCCCTGTTTTTGAAAATATTGGATTGACAAATCTACATGGATTAAAACTTACAAAGAATATAATATAAAGAAGACTTGGCTTTAGCCTTTACGGGCTTTTGAAAATATGAAGAATTAAAGAAAATAAGACTTGACTACGGCCTTTATGGATTTTGAAGAGATGGAAAGAAGAAAAATAAGACTTGGTTCCGGCCTTTACACTCTAAAATTCTGTATATTCAAAATAAAAAAGACAAGGCTTTATGGCTTAGTTCCTTTGCCTGCTCTCTCGAGCGAATAATAAAAACAACAACAACTAGCCCAATAAGTCTGACATGTGTCAAAACGTATTTCTTAGATTTGGTTGAGCTCGTAGATAGATCTATGGTTGAGCTGGAGTATAGACATGGGCAATGTGTATCGCTTAAAAGAAAAGATTGATATGTATCTTTTGATCACTTGGATATATATCACTCTTTTATATCTTTATATCCTTATGTATCAGTAGATCAAGCTCGCTTTCACGACACGCATCGCTTTACGTTGCGTTGCTCACTCAGCGTGGCTCGCTTCGCTCAACTCAATCCTATCAGTAAGAGTGATAGATAAGTATCTATAGAGCTGTTTGCATTTTTCTTGGTCGTAACATTGTGTATCTTCGTGATATATTTGGCTGTTGTTTCTTTCTAGGTATCTATTTGTTATGATTAAAAAATTAAAGTTTTCCTATTACTCAGACATGCAGGTTTCCTCACGATGTTTTCCTTCATCGCCGAGCACGTGGTAAATCAGCACTTAAAATTGCAATTAACAATTTCATTGGTGCCGGCGGGGATCGAACCCGGGTTGCTCGCGTACTGTGAAACTTACAGCGAGCGCTGTTATTGTTATGACTGATAAATAGGCACTGATTCGAGAAATGAACTTAAATTTTTAGTTTAAAATAATAATTAAATTTATTAATGATTAACGTAAATAACGTAGGTAGGGTAGGTATTGTTTGTATTAATTTGTAGAAAATATATATTATATAGTTTCGGCTTCTTGAAAACATGCCTGCTGCGTTGGCTGTCTTTTAGCTACGACGGTTACTGTGGGGAAGGTTACCACAATTTCCAGCGGGTACATTTAGCATATTCGCACAATAAAGGCATTTTGCTTTTTTTGGTTCTACTTCTTCAAAATGATTCCACACTGCGCTTCGTTTTCGTGAACCCATTTTTTTTAATAATGAAACACTAACTGCGTAAAATTATTTACACTTAAGATAAATGAAACATTCACTAACTGTACGTACAGAACAAAAAACTCTAAACTATTTACACTGAATGTCTTATTTACCTACATTTAAATTAAACAGTGACTAAGTGTACAAAACAACTTCAAATATTTTTCTATTCGATGCAATTAACGCAAACAATATTACTCTCGTTCCCAAACCGGGATTAAGGTTGAACTAATGAAGCAAACTGATATATTTGTTTAATTTTGTAAATCACAAATCTTTTTTCTACTTTTTTTATGGATATAAACGACTATTAATTTCGATTATAAAACTTTCTTAATAACTATGGTTTTATAACTGAAATTAGTTTGCATTGTTTACTAAAAAATTTATAGGCAAAGTACACATAGGTAAATGTTAACGTACCGCTTAATGACTTTAAGCCCTATGCACCAATCATAGAGTTATCAATTTACCTTTTTGTGCTAACGTATTACAGTTTATAATGGTCAAACAACTTACTCTCTCCGTCTTGCCAAAGCACGACAGAACATTCTAAATAGTGACCTGCGAAAGAAACGTCTGTACTATGGAATTTCCGAAATCTTCCTGGAACGACCGGCCGTGCCGGCCGAGGTATAATAGAAAGCAGTGTGCGCAATGTGCGACACAGATGTTAGAAAAAGTTAAAAGATGTCTTGAGTGAATAAGTTGTAAAGATACACTGATACAGTGATACATTCGGATGCGGATGGATATAAAGAGTGATTGATGGAAACGGATTGATTCATATCTTTTGTATCTGTCTCTCCTGAGTTACCCATCTCTACTGGAGTATAGTCTGTGGTCGCTTGGCGCTGAAGTGATAGTGCTCCGCTTTCCTAGATTATTATGGTTGTTGTTGTTCTATATGTGTTGTCCTTGTTCAGATAATCACTACATTACGATTTAGCTTTTAGTAGTTGTGCTTGTGTTAAATTCACATTTCATACAATTACAAAATCAACCCAGAACAGAGAACACTACTTCTACTACTCCTATACTCTACATTGTACTGTTTTTCACAAAATGTCTCAAGAATTATCAGAATTGTGCCAGCTTTTGTTTCCCGATTCAACTCTTGGTAAGATGTATTTCTAATAATAATTAATTCGGTCTATTAGATACAGACTAAAACATCGACAAAGTCAAATTTGATAATATCAGCTTTCAGGATTTACTCCTGTTATTAGAAGTAAACATCAAAAGCTGTAAAAGTAATGGAAAGACTTTCCATTGACGTCAGTCGACTTTGGTGTTGATACGTATTTTTACTGAAAGATTACATTTTTATAAGCACACACAAAGTTTCAATATGTGGAAACACGTACTTATTGAGAAAAAAATATTGTAAATCAAATAATTTTGCAATATTTAGTCAATTCCTACCGTGAAACTGACGCCATTTTTATTATTATTGTCAGTAGGGATTCGATTCTTTCCAAAAAAGATCGATTTTTTAAATAGATTCGAATTGTAAGCTGATGTATCGATTCCCAAAAAATCGATTTTTAAAATATCGATATTTTTTTCATGTTTGCATTTATAATGTAAATATAAATCCATATTATGAGAAAAAAATCCCCTTCATCATAAAAAAATAAGGGAACTGATTCAGAAGGATTTCTGTATCTATTTTGAGACTGCTACGTCTCCGGCGCTGCGGGAAGAGCAGCCTCTACGCCTTAGCGTAACAAATCGGTTTGTTACAGCAGGCGGAGGCTGCTCCCCCTACGCGCCTCCGGCTCTATAAAACCACTCTAGGGGTAGGACAGACTCGTACCAGGTGGAGTCGGGGTCAATCAATTCGGTTCTTTGACATAAGTTGAACCTAACCTATTTTATTTGTTATCTGCCCTAATAGGTACTGTTAAATAAAACAAATTTCAATAAGAGATCATTTATCATGGTATCTTTCTTGTTTTTCATAAAATGGGTTTATATTTACACTATAAATAGAAACATTAAAAAAATATAGATATTTTAGAAATCGATTTTTTGTGAACCGATACATCAGCTTACGATTTGAATCGATTTAAAAATCGACCTTTTTCAGAAAGAATCGACATCCCTATTGACGCCGACAATGACATTAGATTGGATTAGACATAAACATTGCAAGAATAATTGGTTTTCAATAATTCTTTTCTCAAAAATTACACGTTTCCGCTAGTTGAAACTTTGTGTGTGTGCTTATAATAGTGTAACTTTTCTGTAAAAATACGTATCAACACCAAACTCGACTGACGTCAATGGAAAGCTAAGCCAAAGTAATCATTAAAAGTAGGAATTTATAATAAGAACTAGCTTAGCTTACATGTTAAGTAATTTTTTTATTACCATGTTAAATCTTAAGATATTTTTTTGTTTTTGTCTTTATTTCAGAATCTCCAGAATATTTCAGTGATATTACAGATTATATCAAAAAATTAGGATCACAAAATTGGGAAATTATTCGTGGAGAACCAGAAAGGTTGTCTGATGAAATGAAACATTTAACGGAGCAGACTCAGGAGCTAGCATTTACTAATTGTAAAACATTTGTTGAAACTGCAGAGATTTCTCGTGCTATAATGAAAGATTTAGGGAAATCTAAAGATTCCTTAGCTAGCTTTCTTAATACCATGCCTGAATTTGTCCAAGAATGTGATAAATTCTCTCTTAATGTTGGAAACATAGTTGAAGACAAAAAGTAAGTTTTATTATGCATTAGTTTTTGCCAATTATAGAATAAGTACCGGTTAAAATTTAGAATAGTTTGGCAGGAGGAGGGGGATGAGGGGAGGGTAAGGGGGGGGGGAGTGTCCCCTTACTCCCAACACCACTCCTATTAAAAGGTAACACACTGTTCTTCAGAAAAATGAAAAAGAAAATCCCATAGACCTAACCTGAAAGTAACATTTATCATCTCTGGCAGGAGGGGGGAAGAGGGTAGCAAGAATGTGCCCTATCAAGGAAAGCCCCTCTACCTTTTCCTCGTTGCGGAAAGGTATAGTTTATGAGTAATGTTTTTTTTTTGTAAAATAATAACCTCACTTTTTTACACAGGAATATTGACCCAAAGTTACTTCTACAACGGCTTCGGCGCTGCGGGAAGTGCAGCCCCTTCGCCCTTGCGTAGCGAATAACAGGCACCCATGCTCACCTCCACAGCTTCGGCTAATTGGTCCAGCCTCAGCCGCTACGGCTCACACAGGTGCCTGCGATTTGCTATGGCGGGCGGGGGCTGCTCTCCCTCCGCGCCTATAGCTTTACAAAAACACTAGGAGTAGGGCAGACAAGACTACGTGGAGTTGGGGCGTGCTGGTTTAATTTTAGTACAGATTCGATCGGATCAGATATCTATAAAGTCAGGTTGCCTTCGCTCCCACCACTAGATATGAGCGCCGAAGGCCAATTTCACGGCGGCGGCGTGGCCTCAAAATTTCCTCGCCGGCAGCGGCGGCGCGGCATGATCCTTAGATAATTTTTTAAAACGAAAAAAAATTCTTAAAAAAAACTTAAAGGAAACCATTTTGTTGTTACCAAACAGCTTTATATTTTTTAATAAAGCCCTGGGGAGCCCCAGCCCATAGATGGCCATATTCCAATTTGGCCTTTTCTTCCAAGTGAACACGAAATTGCACATCACTCGATATGTCGACGCCGAGGATTCCGATACTGGCTGAGGCAACAAGGGGAGTGCTTTGAAACTGAGGAAATGCTCCGATCTGCAAGGAAGCTGGTGAACCAATTGTACAATTTCTCGGGAAGCCCATAGGAAGGGAGCTTCGAAAGAAGCGCTTTGTGCCAAACCCGATCGAAGGCCTTCGCACTAACCAAACTAATTGCCAATGCCTCTCCCTTGGACTCTACTACCTCCGCCCATCTATAAGTCAAGATCACCAATTGATCGATCGATGAATCAGCTGGTGGTCCTCAAGGTACTGCATGAGCTGACAGTTTATAATGGATTCCATTATTTTGGAGAACAAGGCGGTGATGGCGATAAGCTTGTACTTAGACGGGTCTGAGCTGTCGCCTTTTTTAGGAATCGGGTGGACGAAAGCCATCTTCCGTGAATTCGAGACTACGCCTAGGGAGTAGGAGTACCGAAAAGGACGCGTTAGAACCGGTGCCAACTCTGGATCACATGTCATCAGCTCAATTGGAGAGATTTTCAGGCCCACTCGACTTGTGAATGTCCAGAGAGAGGAGTGCTTTTTAAACCGAGGGCTGTGTGAACTGCACATCCGGTATGGAGCACTCACACCACGGGATGGTCGGCGGAGTGCTCCCCCCGTCATCGTGAGTCGAGTTGGACGCGAAGAAAGAGCCTAGCAGATCGGCTTTCTCCTTTGCGGCATGGGCTAGTGAGTCGTCCTCCCTGAGCAGAGATGGAAGAGATGGCTGACAGAAGTTTCCTTGGACAGCCTTGGCGAGAGACCAGAATGCACGGGTTCTCGAAGGAAGGCGAACTAGTTTCTCGACAATTCTGTTGTGTGCTCTGACTTTGCCTTGGCAATGACTCTTTTGAAGGACCTGGAGGCGGATTTATAATTCTTTTTAAGAGCGCTAGTGGTTACATCCCGGGACGTTTTTTCATCAGCCCAGGCGCGGTAGCACTCCTGCTTATCCTATTTTACAGGAGCGACCAAATCATGCCTGAGATCTGCCTCCGATGGGCACCACAGAGGAAGGAATACAAAGTTTCATAGCCTGAAGTACCACCTCGGCGACAGAATTAGCAACAACGTTGGGATCGTCCGGCAAGAAGAAAACCCGCCTACAAGGGCAAGATGCAAAGAAGGATCGCATCCTATACCAATCGGCGACCTAGAGTGCCAAACACGACGACAGCCTGCAGAATGCAATCGCGATGTTAGTGTGAATGGCACCACACTCCAGACTAGACAATGGTCTAAGGAGCCAAGAGGGTCGTCGGCGGAGACCTGATATGTATCCGGATGAGAGGTCAGCAGAAGGACCAACAGGGAAGGCGCATGATCTTCCATATAAGCGTAAGTGAAGTAACTGGTTGTGTCAGACCATATGCCAAAGCAAAAACATGAACAGATCTTTCCGCATGATCGGTTAAACGTTAACCGAGCCATTTGGCGTTGTGGGCGTTACAATTATCGAGGATCACGATCTTTACGGATGGGATCTGCTGTAGCAAGGAATCTATAGCCTTTTGGACGTGGTCGATGAGTCGGTCTGTTTCGGCATTACCGTTATGGGACCTATAGAGGCAACCGTAGACGCGTGATGGTTGTCGCTCTCTACGCGTAGCCGAAGGCTGGATAGGTTCCGAATCTTCAAGACTGCCGAGGCGTTGAGAACAGATGTCCTCTCTGATGTATATGCAAACTTCAGCCCGAGGCAGTTTTAAACAATTAAGAAATAAAACAGTATATTATAATCATTCCTTTACTGTCTGTAAACATATTTTTTTTTAATAATTACTCAAATGTATCTCTTTTATTATTTTATATAATTTCTCTTCTCCAAAAATATTCATATAACAAGTCGGTAAAATTTTCTCTATTATTATAGTTGTCTTTAGCGTAATATCTCTTGACAGAGAGTATAGACAGTAGAATAATGTGACGCTAGTCTTATGTCTTTGTCGCACTTACACAAAATTCTGTATGCTATCCAGCTTTCACAGTAATTTTTCCATGTTTTACGCATTTTAGGTTATAATAGTTTTTATTTATTTTTGCGATAACGGTGAATCACCTTTTAATGTGAGTGGTATTATTATAATCGGGGACCAAATCTCTACCAAATAAAACACCTTACTCCGCCAAATTCGTGCCAAACGATTCTAAATCCAACCCTAAGTGACTGAGTGGCCAAACTTAAATGCCTGAGTGGCCAAACTTTGTAATGAAATAAGATACTAAATATGAAATTTAATCGAAATTGTTAAAGAAACCATGTCATATAAACATGTCTTCTTGAGAATTTAATAGTTTATCCACATTTTGAGCGCCAAAGTCGCCTATACTTGACCAGCACCTTCGAGCCCTGAGCGCCTACGACGTCTATAGTTGACAAAAAACCCGGCCCACAAAAATATGAAATATTAAAATTATTCCTGGTATTTTAATTCTACACTCCCCGGCCTAGCATTATTCATATTTAAATAAGGCTGGCATAAAAATTCCAAGACCGTGGCTATGTTATTCGAATGTTTAAAACATTAGAATAACAAGCCGTATTGCCACTTCTGTTGGTTATTAGGTTAACGATGTTTCCGTTAGAAGCAATTTTACACAATGTATATTTGACCGTTATAACTCACAGCAGCATATTAATGCATCCCTGTCTTATAATAATTGGTTACAAGGAAATACCATCGATACTGCATTGCAAAGTGAAATCAATAGTAAAATTACATTCTGGAGAGATGTAATCTACCTTTAAGAGGCCATGATTCTGATTCTGGAAATTTTATAACAATTTTATGTCTACTATGTAATTATGATCCTATTTTAAAAGAACTTCTTTTAAAACGGAAAGGCGAAATACATTATTTAATTCAAAAAGAAGTTATTAATTTGTTTGGTACCACAGTTAAGTATAATATTACTTTAGCAATTAAAAAAGCTCCATTTCTGGCAATTATTTTGACTACAACATAAGATTTGTCAAAAATTGACCAACTTACTGTAGTTTTTCAATATATCTCGATAACAGAAAGTGATGATAATGTACCTAAAGAATAAAAAATCTGTGAGGCTTTTTTGGGGGCTTATAGCAGTATCCGATTCCAGTGCAGAAGGACTTAAAACTGAAATTTTAAATACGATTAAAGAATATGGAATTGGTTTGTCTAAATGTAGAGGACAGGGTTTATGATGGAGCAAATGTTATGTCGGGTGTATATGGAGGATTCTCTTATAGAAGCCCTTATAAAAGAGCATGCTCCAAATGCCGATTATGTTCATTATGCTGCACACGCATTAAATTTAATTTTAAACGATGCTGCGAAACATGTTATTGAAGTGTTGACTTTATTCAATAATTTAGAAAAATATATACTTTTTTTTAGCAATAGTATAAAACCCTGGACAATGTTGAGTAACGATTCATCTGAAAAATATTAAATTACCCTTAAAAAGGCATGTTCTACTAGATGATCTTCAAAGAACGACGCTTTATTAGCGATAAATAAAAATTTATTAATCATGGAAACTTTGTACCAACTAAATTTAATTTCTACTAAAAAAGATTAATGTGAAGAATGTAAAAATATAATTAACATTTTAGAGAGTTATGATTTCTTAGTGCTTGTCACATTTTTTTTCTACACTATTTGAAATCATTAATCCTGTTTCTAAAGCTCTACAGCATGAAAATAATGATTTACAGAAAGCTAGTATTTTATTAAGTAATCTTTTGAACAGACTGAGAGAAATAAGAAATCTAAACGAGTCCAGAGATTTAGCAAAAGAGTGGGGGGTAACAATTCTTTTTAAAAATAAAAGGCGAAAAATAACGAAGCATTTCTTTGATGAGTTATTACAAGATGAGAGAGTTTCAGACCCGGAATCATATTTCAAAGTTAATGTATACTATTGCTGTCTAGATATATTAATTTCTCAAACTAAACAAAGATTTCAGAGCCTTTGTGACCTGAGTAATATGTTCGAAGTATTACAAATGGAGAAACTCCTATCTTCTTCAAACGTGATAAAAAATGCTTCCGGAAAACTGTTGGCTAAATACAGTAAAGACATCTCAGTCAATCTTTATGAACAATTAATTGTTCTGAAAACATGCTTAAAATCTGAAATTCAAAAAATGCATTCCATTAAGGAACTCATGGAATTATTGCTGATAAAATTCAATAGCCTTTCATCCAGTTTTCCGAAGGTAGTAACAGCATGCTTTCTATTCTTGACCCTTCCAGTTACGACCGCAACAGCTGAAAGAAGTTTTTTAAAATTAAAACTGATAAAAAATTACCTAAGGACTTCGATGGGGCAGCAATGGCTATCAGACTTGTCACATAGAGGCAGAAATTTTAGAAAAACTGAAATCGTCTTCAGCTATAGATGATTTAATAAATTATTTGCCGAAAAAAAGGCAAGAAAAGTGTACATTTAATTTGAATTGTTTGGCTAGCTAAATTTCTAGGAGGAAGCGATAACTTACATACATACATACATACATATAATCACGCCTCTTTCCCGTAGGGGTAGGCAGAGACCAGTTCTTTCCACTTGCTACGATCCTTACATACTTGTTTTGCTTCGTCCACTTTCATTATTCCCTTCATACATGCTCTACGGTTTAGGGTACTCTTGACCTGGCCTTTTTTCAAGACGTCCCTGATTTGGTCTAGAAATGTCCGCCTAGGTCTACCCCTTCCAACACTTTCATTCACACTCGCCTTATACACTTTTTTCGTCAATCGTTCTTCATTCATTCTCTCGACATGGCCAAACCATCTCAGCATACCTTTCTCAATTTTTGTCACTACATCTTCTTTCAGACCACAACGTTTCCTTATCTCACTATTTCTTAGCCTGTCACTCAGTTTAACTCCTATCATACTTCTTAATGCTCTCATCTCAACTGCATTTATTCTGCTTTCATGTTTCTTCTGCCATACCCAAGTTTCACTTCCGTACATGAGTGTCGGAACCAACACCCCCTCATGCACAGCCAAACGAGCCTTGTTAGACACCTTCCGACTGCTCATAAAGGAGTGCAAAGCTCCATTCACCATGTTTCCTGCATTCACTCTTCTTTCGATATCACTCTCACACTTTCCATCTCTTGTAAACTTTGAACCCAGATACACAAACTCTTTCACCTGTTCAATTTGTTCATCTTCAATCACAATGTTGCAGTCTGTCACTGCCTCATCTTTTTCAAACACCATCACTTTCGTCTTCCTTACATTCATCTTCATTCCCTTTCTAACAAAAGCTCCACTCATAGCAGTTACCATCTCCTGCAACTCCTCGGCCGAAGACGCAAGTAATACTTGGTCATCAGCATAGAGAAAACATTTGACGAGTAACTCATTCATTCTCAACCCACTTTCATTCTCTTTTAAATCTGTCAAACAATTGTCCATGAACAGATTAAACAGCCACGGTGACGCTACACATCCCTGTCTAACACCTTTTTCGATATTAAACCATTCAGTGTATGCCCTGTTTATCCTTACACAAGCACTAGAATCCCTATAAAGAGATTGCATTGCTCGTATGAGGATACTGCTCACACCGTTCACGGACAGTGCTGACCACAATTCATTCCTCACCACTCTATCATAGGCCTTTTCTAGATCTAGATACTTAACTAACTACCTAACTAGAGCGATAACTTATAATCAATATATAAATATATAATATATTTAATTTTAATTTAATCCAAGCATTTTAGTTTCTTTTGTGAGAAAACTTTACACTTCATTTGAGCCCCCCAACTAATTTTGATACAGGGCCCTTCCAAGGCACGCTACGCCACTGCTTATGAGCATGCTGAGCAGATAGAGCAGCTATTATTATAGCAGCTAAAGGACCGAGTGACGTCATGCCACCAAGGTGGCAACCAAAGTGACTGCTGTTTGAATTGATTCTTAGTTATTGGGAATTAAATATTTTATTTCATGACACTAAAGGGGCGTAAAAAGTTAATATGATTTTTTTCGTGTGAAGGAAGTAACGATAAATAGATTTATACAATAAAACAATTATTTGTATTCCCTATTATTATATCGAAAAGCATTGCAAACTTAGTAACCTTCGACAACATTATCGATACTTTGATATCGAAACGGTAACATTCCTAAAACGACGTTATATTTATTGTAGTCTTAATAAATGCTTAGCGTTTTTTTAAAAAAAAACGTTACCCCCACACTACGATTTTCTCCTGTATCATACAGCAGTTTACAAACATACATTGCACAAGGACAAACATCCAGACCCGGAACAATTATTTGTAGGCCATACAAATACTTGTTTCGTGCGGGATTCGAACCCGCGGCTCCAAATGCTGCAACTCATTGCTAAGCCACTACGCCACTGAGCCGTTGTTTTGCATTTTTAGCTAGAGGGCGCCACACGCGCACTAGCTCAAAGTTTTTGTATATGTTCCCAATGCCTGCTCAATAGTATATATATATATGTTAAATCTCTTTGGGTATCTGTAGATGTGAACAAACCTTAAATCGCTTGTTATCTTGGTTAATTCTTATCAAGCGTTTTGGATACTCTGTTGAGAATTACCTTGGCAAAAATTTTAGAAATATTTGACATCAGGCTAATACATCAACAGATATTTGTTATTTTTGCCTCCTTTACTGTGCAGCAGTATTATGGTTGATGTTGTCCACTAATCAGTTATTATCTTGCTCTACAACTCTTTACTAAATACATAAATAAGAATTGTTATAAGGTGATCTTTGTTTTCGTAGATCGTTACTTATCTGAATATTTTATTAAGCTTTCTTTTTTTTAATTAATATGGTAGTAGAGCCATGCTGCATTATGGTTGTAGCATGAATGGGTTGGCTCGATCAGGAAAGAACCATGCTCTAACAGAATACTTGCGTAAAATAACACTTCAATGATGCTGTGTTTCGTATGGTGAGTGTAGAGAACCGGAGATCCTTTACTGGAAGAAATGAGGCAATCCATCTTAGTCCTCAGAGGTGACAACGCACCTGCATTTTGATTCTAAACGATGATAGATCTATATTTCTATGGACCACAACATCCATTTTCCATCAGGTGGACTAGTGTTTCTTTGTCACTCTTATACTATAAAAATAAATAATTACTACTACCATGTTATATAAGTTATTACTTATTATAGTGTCAAAAATGTAGTTTTAATTTTTGGTATATTTATCTTTTATAAAAAAACATTTCAGACGTTATAGTAATATCAGACATCAAAGTGATAAATTGTTAGAGCTTTTAGAATTACCTTCTTTAATGCGTGAGGCCCTGAATGCAGAAGATTATGAAAGTGCATTAGATATTTTTACATTTGTTCGCAATTTATCAAAGAGGTATTCAGAAATTCCAATCGTTCAGGTATATTATATGGTTAATATAGTGTTATGACTTATAACATTAGGTGTAATGTATTTTTTCTAAATTTTATTTTTATTACAGAATACTTCATCTGAAATCATGACTCTTTGGTTTGAAACCTTGTATCACCTGTACAATCAATTGCATTATGACTTGCCATTGCCACAGTGTTTACAAGTAAGAACATTTTGTAAATGTGTTGAAATTAAACTTTTTAAACGTAATTTAATGAAAATGGCAGATTTTAGGCTATTTAAGAAGAGCAAACACTGTATTTAAGTCAACAGAAGAGGACCAGAGTAAACTATTATTGGCAGGAAATAAAATAACAAATGGTACCATTATAACAGATGGTTTACATTTACACTTTTTGAAAGCAAGAAATGCCTGGTTTGAAAAAGCATTAGAAGATGCTAAGACAAATGAATGTAAGTAAGAAGAAAGTTTGGAACTGTCGTCTTTCATCAAGGTTTATGTTAAACAAACTCGCGAGAAAGTATTTAATATGTATTTTATTTTTACTTTTATCGGCCCGTAAAAGTTCACCGCTTATTCAGCACACTTGGGAGACTGATTGACGTTCGTAGTTGCCAGACGTCTCGCATCTTTAGCTTAGCTACCGTTGGCCTGTTTGGGTATTTTACACCTGGCGCGAAAAAAAATTATTTAAAAATGATATAATATTTCCTATAATCGCCTCTTATGATACCGATGGGGCGGAATGGGGTAATTTCTTACGCCGTCAATACATGGCAGCTACATAATTTCTAGTCAGCCATTCATTTATTAATTACAGCCTATTAAAAGTACACTGCTGAACGTAGGCGTCCCCCATAAATCGCCTTATAGGATATTTGCTAAAGTTGTCACAATGGCAGGCAGCGGGTTGGCAACCTCAGTTTATTTCTTATTTTGAGTTGTCATCAGGAAGAAGCTGTGGCCCATCTCAAGTTTAATTTGTCTGTGACGCCGCTTACGACACCCACGGGATATGATATGGGGTAGTGGATTTAAAACCTGTCTTTAAAAATTACTAACCAAAATAATACTAACTAAAATTCATTGTCTTTAATTTTGTAAATCCTTGCATAGAAAATTGTTGGTGCGTCAGTGTTTAAATAACTTCAGCTTGCAAATGTCTTGACCAATTGAGGTCATATTCTTGTTTAGTGGTGACTATGGTTCATACGCTAGGTTCCGATAGGTGGCTCTGGCTGGCATTCAAGTTATTCACGAATTCTATATTTATGAGGCGAAATGACTCATTAACAATCTATGATGGTTTATTGTCAAAAAATAAAATCACAATCTGGACTAGATATGTGCCATTTTCAAGTTATTTATAATTTTTATACTTACACTGCTGCAAAATTTACAGAGTTAATCCAGATTAAAACCGAAGTAAGTGTGGAGTTAATGCAAAGTCAAATTAGAGTGGATGATTTTATATTTATTTAATCCCCTTGGAGTGAAATTCACTCAAAGACCCAACCAGTGTTGTATGTTATAACTTATTCAGTATCTAATTGAAGATAAAACTAGTAACTATAATAAATAATTATTTTTAATAATTTTTTGCAAAATTTGTTACAGCATCAGAGAAGTTGTTAAGAAAAATTGTTGAGTTGCATAGAATTCATTTATTTAATGTTTTAACACAACATAAATCAATATTTTTGTCAGATGCACAAGAATCTAAAGTAAGAGATGATGAACTTAGTGGTACTAGTGCACTGTCATGTTGGCTGAAACAAAAGGTAAATAAGAATTTTATCATCAGTAACAATTCTAGTGGATAACCATAGCATTAGTTAGTATGATTCTTTCAGACTAATCAATATTATTATTAACCTGTATATAGATGTGTAAAGGTTAATAGAAATGCATACCTGTATAATTGAATAATATTCGGTATAAAGACAATTTTACGGTAGTCCGGTTGGATACTTAATTATGCATTTTTTTTAATATAAAATTGAAGTGACACTAACAGAAGTTATACAAGCACAATGAAAGACCAAGGAGAGTTGGCTTTTAATATTAAATGTGTAATTTCTTGTAATGAGTTGTTTTTATAAAAAACTGAACTTACGGTCCATGTGATGGTAAGTGGCTATTGCAGTCCAGTGACAACAGCAGACGACTTTAAATAAATAAGGCTATACGTGCGTTGTCATCTCTGAATAGTGTCCGACCGAAGATTCGGTTTAGACTAGTTTCGGTTTCGGCCTAAAATCTACCCAACCTTCGCGCTTGCCGAAACTCATTCGTGAATTGTCGCGCATCGTTCGGCTAACTTTGGGTGAGTTCGCCGACAGCGTGATTGTATTGAGCGAGTTTGTAATTTTTCTCGCGCATAAATGATTAGGTAAGGTCTCTAGTTAATGGGATGTGACAACAGTAAAAGTCGCGGCACGTAAGTCTAGCACTGAACGAAACGTGGAGGGGATAGCTGCGCATGGGTAGTGTCGCGCACGAATTGAATTGCACGAATGCGACTGTTGAGCCAATCAGCGCGTGCGAACGACGCACGCCCGCCCCGCGATCCGCTTACTACCCCATGACAACTTATTTTCGACTTATGCGCAATTACGGTCACCGCTAGACTTTCGTGCCGCTACTTTTACTGTCCGACGGCGGAGAAAATGTTCCCTCAATTTCTAGTCTTTGGGATAGGTATGGTAAAACTACTAATCAGAGAATCTGAGGACTTAGACGGAAAACTTCTTTTTTCTAAACCATTTTCACAGTGTTGCCTGGTTTAGGTGATGTTGGTCCTGTAAGCCAAGAGGCAAGAACTTTATCGAACTCAGGCGTGATCGTACTCAATTCACAGTATAGGTTTTGTCTCATGTCAGTACTTGTTGAGCCATTGCAGACGCCTACCGTTTTTTTTTAAAGACCCATCTTTAAAACTACTTTTGATTTACATGTTTTGTTCATTATTGAGTACAATCACTACATCTGTTATACTATCATGTTAACATTTTCAACTGAAATGGTTGACCACCATTAGAATATTGCTGATCTAACTGTAGTTTTGCATAGGCATGTGTCCACTATAGCAAAACATAACGGAAAAACCCTTGCCTTACTCATAACGCAGCGTATCAATGCTAAGGGTTCACTAATGGCGGTAAAGCCATGCTGCAGCTATATAAGTAGTATAGTTGTAGTACGAGTGGGTCGGCTCGACCTGGGAAAGACCACGCTCTCACAGAATACCAGCATAAAATAGGAGCTTAACGCTGCTGTTTCGTATAGTGAGTGTGAAGAACCGGAGACCTCTTTTACTGGAAACAAGACATTCTATCTTAGTCCTCACGGGTGAAAACGCATCTGCATTTTTATTCTTAGTTGAGGATGGATGTAGATGTCTGTGGGTCACAGCAACTATTTACCATCAGGTGAACTGTGTGCTCGTTTGTCACCCTTATCCTATAAAAAAGTTCCTGAATATTTGTAAGAAGCGACTGAACCAGCGTAGCTAGCGAGTTGCGAAAACCTGAAATACCGATAGGACACCCAACAAGTTGCGGTTGGCTACAGTTGGTACCCAACTAGAATAATTATGGCATCCCTCTAACATGTGAGCAATCAAGCGCATAAGCGAGATAAAGCGAATATTGGCTAGCATAGGGCTTCCATCCCTACAGGTTCCTTGAATTAGACTAACTTTTAAGCTTAGTTCAGACTGCCGCTATACTATTCTGCTATATAGAGACATTGCTTCAAAAGTAAGCAATCCACTTCTATATGATATAGCATAATGTTACGTATCCATAAAAATGAATACTGAGAACGTATTATTCTGATATATATTATTTACTCTTTAACACAGCCCAACCCAGATAATCTTATAGGGAACGCTGCGCCGTATCCTCCGTGGCTGTGTATTTGACGCACTATAGTCTTACGCAGTTAACCTTTTACGATCTATTTATTGGAAGGTGATGAACCACAGTGAGATAGTCCAAAATTGACCTGGTCACGATATCATCTATGTTTATAAAATTATTTTGTTTTAGGTTGAAATATTAACACAAATGCTTAATCAAGACTTGAAAAAGGAAGATGAATCAACTTTCGAGTCCCTTTTGAATCAGTGCATGTACCTCTGTCTTTCATTTGGTAGAGTGGGCGCTGATTTAAGATGTGTGCTGACACCTTTATTTCGCAGTAATGTTCTGATGCAATTTCATTCAAACTTAGAAAAAGTAGATAATCAATTTGAAACTCAAATGAGCACTTACAAAGTGCCCACTATAAAGAATTTACCAAGGCCAGTAAATGAAAATACAATTTCCGGACCTCCTGAAAATTTGTTAGATTACTATCCATTGGCTGAGTATTGCAATGGACTGTTGACAACATTAAATTCTTTGCGAGTAACAGCTCCATTAAATATAGTTAAGGATGTATACAACAGTTACAGAAAATCTTTAGATAAAGCCGTTCAAATCATAATAACATTTTATCATAGAGAGCAACAAGCATTTACTGAAGTTGAAAGACAGAATTTCATATCTTTTTGTATATGTTTCACTGAAGATTTAGTCCCGTACATCACAAAATGCCTCTCGCAATCATTCCCACCAACTCAAATTTGTGAACTTTTAGGTGTTACGTTGACAGTTCTGCAAGAGAGCAAGTTACTGCATATTGATCAAATGGACATTTGTAAACCACTAAACAGTATTACTGGCTTATTTATGAATTAATATTTGAAAGAAATAGATAAAAACTGTTCATAAATTGTTTTTAACTATAACATTAAAGAATGTATTTAAAAATTATATTATATTATGAATATGTACATAAATTTAATAGAATTTAAGTTTGAAATATATAGAGTTATTGAAATAAAACAAAATTTAAAAAAGTTTAAAGTTGTTTATTTATTGATACATAAAAAATTATTCTTATATCTGATAAAGATGTAAGGCACCGCCTTCTTAATAACTACTTGACATTCGAGTAAGGAATGGCTTTTAAAATCATGTGTAGGTAACACTTTTGTATTAGGTAAACCTAATTTTTTTGATCCTCGACTTTCCCTCTTCATTTCTGGATACTTCATAGTAGTGGGTGACTTTATCAATATTTCCCAAAGATTCAATGAACTCTTTGTCATGGGTGATAATAATAAACATGAAATTTCTTTGCACCATTCTCTCTTGAACTATTTCGCCGAGAACCGAGCATAGACTCTTAACGTTTTCTTGGTCTAAGTTGGTTGTTGGTTCATCTAAAGCTAAAATGCCAAACCTGGAAAAAGTAAATATTAAATATAGATTGTTTTTCTCCGAGGTAACAAATGAGTTTGCATTTTGAATTACTTTTCTACGTATAAAGAATAGTAGTTCATTCAGGGTATAAGCGTTATATATACATAGTTTGCTTGGTGGTAAAAAAATATTATAATAAAGTAGAATGAAGTAGAAGTAGAAGGTTCTGGAAACTACCTGAGGCCCTATTTAAGGCCGATATAGACCGCTACCGAGTCAGTGTTGAGTTGGCGATAAAAGCGAATACTTCGAAGCGATACAACTGCGAACTAAAGTGATCAGTACTGCCGTCATAAGAAAAAAGGGCGCATCTAACAATTTTTGAAAAAATGAGTTAAATATACTATTCGACTCAAGATAAAAAGGCGCATCTACTCAGTTTTTTTTAATATTCAAAAATATCAATATTTTAGAAAATATCGTAAAAGTTTTAGACGTAACTGTTGATCACAGATGACATTTTTTAGTAAAAAAGACGTATTCAAATTCAACATAAAAGAAAAGACTTATTTAACCAGTTGCTACAGCATCTTTAACAATATTTGCATCGATTACTTAACACATTCAGTACCACCGACTCGCCCGGAGAGTTCACGTAAATCTTATTCCAGTGCCGACGACTCGTCTGGCGAGTTCAGTGTTTTTCACTAATATTTCCAAAATGCATCCGTATTTTCTGCTTAAAATTATAGTTTAGACTAAATATATGCTAAACTAAAGATTTACGTGGTGGGCCGGGTGTGGAGACTCCGTTTAAATTTGAAAGGAAACAAACTATTCTGCAATGCCTTGAACTCGCTAGGCGAGTTCCCTGACATAGATCCTCAACCATTTACATGTTAGATAACGACGTCAACATAGTAGCATGGACTACCTACATACTTGTGATATGGAACTAATATTCACAATAAAAATAATACATACCATATTCTTAAAACTGAAAGCCCGTATATTATAATAATAATCGTTTATTTCCAATCAAAAGTAGATAAAGAATGTGTGTGGGCGTGCGTGCATGTTGTTGTTGTTGTTGTTCTCGAATAAGTTCCTTAAACATTCTATTAACATCAATTTTAAATGTATCGAATTCATCCTCACGCTTCCTTTTGGTACTGTAAGCTGTTCGGCTGGCCATCGGAATCGGAATAAATATTTGGGTCTGAATGGCAGTGTTCGCGATGTAAAGTTGATGGCCGCCGTCGAGACGTAGGTGTCGGTCGCGCTAGTAGCAACAATATTCTGCGGCTGCGAAGTAGACTGCGGTGGCGAGCGAGAAATCATAAAGCGACGTCAAAACAATGTACCAGAGCAATATAAACAATCAGGTATTACGTATTTATTGCAAGCTCCAATGTTTCGTTACTATTTGCTTAGAGGTCAAGCAACTGGTCGTTGATCGACGATTCTTATACAAAGGGTCTTTCCGTCTTATATCACTTGATCTCTCGTCCTGTGCATACAATATTCATTTATGTTATCCCTGTTTTATTCAATGACGCAATGATTAAGCGTTTCTTTCTCGTTTGAACTATTTATTAATTTGCAAAGAAAATTATAACACTTCAATAATAAGGCTTTTACTCACACAGCTGCATGGGAATTTAGTAGGACTAGTGTTGAGAGTTAGTGAACACTTCTTCACTTTTATGCACTCCTAGGTAATTATTTATTTGATTTTGTCGGAATTTAACATAAGTTAACTGTATTTAACTAACTAAACCACACACGTCTGGTCTCTTCGAGAGTCCGAGGGGAAGAATATATATTAAATTATTTCATGGTAAAATTATCTATTCACAAGTATTAGAAATTCAAAATATAACCTTAACAATAACCACAATTTAAAAGATTGACAACCACTGCTTAAATTACGAAACAAACTACCTTTTATTTTATCCAAAGAGTTTTTTGCCATTTTTACAAGCCGAATAGTCCTGAAACACTTTTTAATTGCGTTAAACACGTTAAGTACACTGTGACGGCCACAAAAATTACAAAATATAGAATTTACCCTTACTTAGTGCCAGTGAACTCGCGTGGCGAGTCGATTCAATTTATATTGCAGTGCCGGCGACTCGCCTGGCGAGTCAACCGTAAAATGTAGACGGCATCCGAGAAGACATCATGAAAATCGTAGTGGTGATGAATGTGTTAACCGGTTCAGTGCGCGCGACACGCCAGGCGTGCCATCAATTACTTTTGTGTGTGGCGTATGATACGCGAGTCTTGTCTTTTTAAAAATCGTTATAACTCGCTCAAATTGCTTTTTTGGAAAATTTATCCAGAACAAAATATTCATTATTTTGCGAGTAGTTCATGCATGCAGCTTCCTTTCTGGATATTTTGAATTTTTAGGGGTTGGCAACCTTTTTTCAACGTGTACATGGTACTGTTTTTATTTTGTGGGTTTTAAATCATGTTATGGAAAAATTGTCTAATAAGTAACTTATGATAGCACTCATTGCGATCGCTCACAAACTCAAGTTGTAAATAAATTTCTGGAAAACAAGTCTCCTGTTAAAAAAAAAAACAATGCGTTTGTCTTATTGTTTAGTTTTGCTTAAAATGGTTGAACTGCCGTCTTATTACTATCATATGGCCGAATAGACCTACGAAGTACCATGTGCTCTTGTGATATGGTATAAGGTTTATTTTTGCTTGAAACAGTTCGAAACCGTTCATGCATAAAAAAAGTTTGCTAATAAATAGTCTTTTGTCAATCCGCCGCCGTATAGCGCCGGCGTTTTTTTCCTTTTGACAACACTTGTTTTACTATTCTTACTAATTAGACGTTTTCAGATCGACTTTACTTTTACATTTGTATAACATTAAATAATATTTAACATTTGTAAATATCAATGAATGATATACCTTTTTTTTTTCAAATTAAGGTTCTTCATTGTTTGATATATACAAATATTATTATTAGGTGAAAATTTAATTTAATAAAAACCAAGGTTTCCAGGGTGATTTTAGCTGTACCTACTTATATAAATGATTTTTTATACCAACAAAAAATAATACAAAAGGTTTGTAATCTCTTCATAAAAAAGTCACTTTCAATTTCAAAGAAAACGCGTAAAAAAACACGTAGTTACCCACTAAAAACAAGTATCCTTCCATTTGTAACTTATGTTTGATGTCAAATAAACTTAATTACGTCTAAACAAGTAAAAAAAGCATAAAAAAGAACATTACTTTTACACATGGCGGATGGCACAATAGGCGTGTCATTTTTGTCTGTGGCGCTTAACACGCCCGGCGTGTCATGAAATATTTGTTCGTCGCCACAGCTAAAACTTGGCGAAAATTGGTGCCGCAACGAATCGGTTAAATGAAAATACGCTTTTGTTTTCTTACGTCCAATCATCTTGGTACTCACAGTGAATAAAATAATAATAGGTTAGGCGCAAACAACATCGCGTTTTTAAATAGCACATATATTTCAGTAGACCGGCGCAAATTAATTAATCTTTTTTTTTAACTATGCCGTGGTCAGAGCAAAGGATTTTTATAAGACATTTATAATAAAAAAATTGTACAACCGACTTCAATATATATTATTAAGTAATAAATAAAAAAAAACTGCCATTCATTTAACATTTTTACATATTTTGGAAAGTTCATTTGAAGTTGAAAGGACACTAATAATAATTTACTACTTTTCTTCTTAGTAAATATTAGAAAATAATTAGTAGTGAGCCACAAAAATAACAACCCGCAACTCTTGAATAATGATTTTAAAGGGGATATCATACAAGACTTACTACGATAATAATTAAAAATTTTATACAACTGACTTCAATATAAATAATTAAGGATAACTCAAAAACTATTGGTCAAACCTTGATCAAATTATATGGGGCCACAAGAGACAACCAGCTTTCAAATAAAAAAAATCATCGAAATCGGTTTACGTAGAACAAAGTTGTGAGGTAACATACATAAAAAAAAACATACAGTCGAATTGAGTACCTCCTCCTCTTTGAAGTCGGTAGAAAATACTTCTACGGCGCGACCAAAAGACCCAAAATAGGTGAAAGAAAACTGAACAGACAAAACACTGTTTCTTACTTTTAATGGATAGCGTCGGTACTAAATTGTATGTCTGTAAGACATATTTTATAGAAATTTTGGGCTTTAATAGGAAAAATGACAAAATTGTCAGAAATTCCAATCTCGAATCCACGGGCGTATTTAAATGACCATGATGTGTGCCAAATTAGTTTCGCAGTGGTAATCAACACAAGCTTTTTTATAAAACAAATTTCGATAGTGATGAACATTCACTGAATTTCTAAAGGTTCCTGCTCCATAACAAAATTTTACTTTCAGAGGTATTACATCTAATCGAAAAAATAAAATAATTAGGGAATTAGAGCCACTCATGCCGAAAAATAGAAGAGCGGTTGATCTTACAAAGAATTATGAAGACTAAACGTACAAATCTTATTATTTTTATAGTTAAGGGTATTTTGATATCACATTTTTAAAAAGGCCAAGGGTAGCTTCAATCTCTGTTTAGCATTAAGTGACAAATATCTGTGATACTTCTATTTTATAGTATTTCTTACAAGAATGAAGCTGACAGAAGAACTTAGTATGTGGTAGAAAAAAGTAACAAGGTCTTTAGCCTGTTTTTAGTAGTTAAGGTGACACTAGTCGACAATATTTCCATACAAATTTCGGAGGGGTTTTACTACGCTGTTTGACAGTGTACATCCAAAGTTAAACATGATATCGTTTTGTCTCATTATTAAATTTGTCTGTACGGAAACAAAATTGTAAAATAAAATGTTATTAAAAAGTTACGGGCTACCAAATATTCGTTTTTATTGCCAATTTTAACACAACTTTGGGCGTAAATTAGTAATAAAAGAAGTGTAAAATTTCCAAAACAAAGTCGGTACCGACACAGCTCAATTATCGAAGAATTCAATAAATTTTATTCGTAATTGATTTATGCAGTGGTTTTTTCAT